GTCCCTAATCCATTCCACTGATCCACCACTCTAAGTCTTAGCCAGTACCAGACGGTTTCTAAGGCTTATGTTATTAATGGTTACAAGTGGAGGTCGTAGGAGGAGCCATCCAATCAGAACAGTGGCATGGGGGTGGAAATGCTCTGTATTACTTTTCTACTTGTACCCCCAAGGCTTACCACTATGCTTTGCACAGAGCCAATGTTTAACAAATACTCCATTGATTTATTTATGGAAAAAAAAAAAAGAGGATCTGGGGCAGCTAGATGGCGCAGTGGATAGAGCACTGGCCCTGGATTCAGGAAGACCTGAGTTCAAATGTGACCTCAGACACTTGACACTTACTTAGCTGTGTGACCCTAGGCAAGTCACTGCACCCCATTGCCTTGCCAACAATAAAAAAAAAAGGATCATAGATACATTTCTTAATGAAGAGAAGAAAATTCAGAAAGAAGTGCAAACAAGGAGGACAGTTTTAAAAGTAATGTGTGGAATTTATTATACACTTAAAAACAGATTGTGTGAAGTTTAGATTAATACTGTTCATAGACAATCTGCGTTCTGTATTCTGCTATGTGTAGTGTTTAAGTTCAGAAAAAAAAATTAAGCTAATAGAGCATTTAAGTGATTGGTATTTTGACTAAAGACCTGACTTGATCAGATCTTGTGGGTGTGCTGTGATGGAGAGCACAGTTCTTGTGTCCAGAATGATGTCGTTGAGGTCATTGTGCCACCTCACAGCCTCATTTTTCATCCCTTATAAGGGTCTAGTTATAACCACACTGCCTCCTGCCCCCCCTCCCCTGGGTTTACAGCCCTAAAGAAATATGAGTGATTACTGGACAAAAATAGAAATGTGGAGGCTATGCTGGCAGAGATAGATAGATAGGCTTGGAACTGGCCTAGTGACTGGACCCAAAGGACAATTAAGAGCTTACTATCAGCATGGCAAGAGGTCTCTAGTACAGCGCCCCAGGATCTATGCGTAGCTCTATCTGTTCCACATTTTTATCTATGACTTGGATAAAGGCGCAGATGACACGCCTGTCATATCTGCTGATTTCACAAAGCTGAGAGGGATGGCTAGCAACAATCACCACAGTGGAATCTGTACCCACACTTGGCCTTCTTCTTCCCTCTCACTTAATAGTATTTTATTTTTTCCAATTACATGTAAATATAGTTTTCAACATTTACTTTTACAAGATTTTGACTTTCAAAAATTTCTCCCCTTTCTCACTTCCTCCTTGGAATCTGATATAGGCTCTACATCTACAATCATATTAAACACATTTCCACATTAGTCATGTTGTGAAGAAAGAATCAGAACAAAAGAGAAAAAAACATGAGAAAGAAAAAACAAACAAAAAAGTGAAAATAGTGTGCTTTGATCTGCTTTCGGACTCCACAGTTCTTTCTCTGGATGTGGACAGCATTTTCCATCATAAGTCTTTTGGAGTTGTCTTAGATCCTTGCATTGCTGAGAAAAGCTAAATCTATCAAAGTCGGTCATTGAACAACGCTGCTGTTACTGTGTATAACATTCTCCCGATTCTGATCACTTCACGTAGCATCAGTTCATGTAAGTCTTTCCAGGTTTTTCTGAAATCCACTTGCTCACCATTTCTTATGGAACAACAATATTCCATTACATTCATGTACCACATCTTGTTCAGCCATTTCCCAACTGATGGGCATCCCCTCAATTTCCAATTCTTTGCCACCACAAAAAGAGCTTCTATAAATATTTCTGTACACGTGGGTCCTTTCCCCATTTTTATGATCTCTTTGGGATACAGACCTAGAAGTGGTATTGCTGGTCAATGGGTATGCACATTTTTATAGTCCTTTGGGCAATTTGGATTAAAATTGCTCTCCACAATGATTGAATAATGGGGCAGCTAGGTGGTGCAGTGCATATAGCATCAGTCCTGGAGTCAGGAGGACCTGAGTTCTAATCTGGTCTTAGACGCTTATTAGCTGTCTGACCCTGGGCAAGTTACTTAACCCCAATTGCCTTAAAAAAAAAAGACAGAATGGTTGGATCAGTTCACAACTCCACCAACAATTAATTAGTGCTTCTCTTTTTGAATGATTAGTTTCCTCTTGGCCCTGGGTTGATGAGGATTCAAGAAGAGACAAGAGAAGATGTTTGTCCTTCCCACCTCACTGGGAATCTCAGGGAGCACACTTACATATATGGTGGGAAGTGATGCAGTTGGACACAGAGGCAGGAAATCTGCAAGGGGCTGCTGTCTCTTCTTCCTTCAGTTACACTTAGGGATCTGACTTCCTAAGGCCCACAGTTCTGGTTTTGGGTCCTCCAGGCTTCCATGAGGCAGATCCTCAGTAGCCAAAAGTAGCTTAGGAGGTGACCAAGCTCCTGGAACAGATATGGGGTCCAAACTTCAAAAGGGAGGATCATAAGCCCTGAGCCTGACAGTTATGGTGGCTCCCACTGGACTGGAGAGCTGGGAGGGAAACCTGAATGCTCTCTTTCCTCTTCCTCCCTTGATTTTCCTTTGTAAAATCTGTAATCCTGAGATGGGAGTTGGGAATGGGTATTTCTTCCTTCCCTTCTTGGGGGAACCCCAACCTCCAGGCACTGAAAATCTGGAATGGCAATCAGTAATCAGTAGGAGATTTAGTAGATGACTGGATCCCAATTCCTCCATCTAGGAAGACCTGACCTATTTTCTGATACTTTCACCATCTTCAGTAACCAGTGTACTAATAGGTTAAGTCTCTGGACTCATGGATGGTGGACACTATGATTGGGAAAGGAGAGCCCAGAGAGATGTACTGAGTGGGGGCTCATGAGCTATGTGAAGATCCTGTAGTGATGACTCCAGCCTCATCCCCAGTCCGTAAGTAATACCCTTCATTCCTAGGTGGATTCTGGACCTGACCTGACTCGTAGCTCGAAGCTACAGGGAATCTTCTTCCTGAGTACCCTCTGGTGGCCAGTTAGGATTACTGCAGCTTTTTAGGAAGGCTAGTTAACAAACGTGTGACAAGACCAACTCCACTAGGATCCGGTGGCTTGAATGGAGCGCCACCTGGTGGGCAACTCAAATAGTGCGTTCTTTTGGTCCACAACGCGGTGATAGTAGGCGCAGTGGATGGGGAAGCTTAAGACTGTCACAGTCATAATAGCTCATATTGATATGTCATTTTTGACGTTTTCCAAGTGCTCTACAGGACTTATTTCATTTGGCCACCTGCATTTGTTTGCATTTCATTGCTTGGGTAACCAAGGCATGGATTAAAAAGATCTTGACAGACTAGAACAGAGGTATTGAACCTGTGGTTTTGAACCAGAGGTATTGAAACATGCCCACATTTGCAGGAAACAGATTAAAATGTAAATGTGAAGTATTTAATGCAATAAATAAAAATACAATAAGTCATAGATAATGTCAATAATAGGGCAGCTAGGTGGTGTAGTGGATAGAGTGCCAGGCCTGGAGTCAGGAAGTCCGAAGTTCAAATCTGACCTCAGACACTCACTAGTTGTGTGACTCTGGGTAATTCACTTAACCCTCTTTGCCTCAGCTTCCTCATCTGTAAAATGATCTGGAGAAGGAAATGGCAAACCACCCCAGTACCTTTGCCAAGAAAACCTCAAATAGGGCCATGAAGAGTTGAATGTGATGGAAAAATGACTGAAATCAAGGTCGGTAATTCCTTAAGAGCAGGGACCTTGTTTTTGCTTTTTGCCTTCTGTATTCCCAGTGTTTGAATGATAGGAAACCCATAGTAAACATTTACTAAATCCTAGATAATTGGCAAAAACAAAACAAAAACAAAACCAAAAAAACTGAAAACAAATAATAGTTCATTCTTATTACTGTTATCATCATTAGCTCATTCTAATTCTTTTTTATGGGTTTCAGATAGAGATGGCCCCAGGACAAGTCACTGCCTTGTTATGATTCTTTTATATTTGTTGCTCTGTGAACTCTTCCACAAGGTTCCACTAATCACTTTTTGTAGTTGAATACAAGAATTGGAGTGGAAGGTCATCCACTAGAGACCTCTGGCAAACTTCCTTGGAACAACTCCAGTGCAGACAGGTGAGCCTGGTTGCTGCGGATGACTACCCCCTAGTTCATGGTACTTTATAGATCCACACTCCTAAAACTCTAACTCATGAACCCCCGGCAATGTGTTTACTTTTCATTAGTCAGCCAGAGGATGCAATTGGCTCAAAGAAAAGGCATTTACCAAAATGAAGTATTAATAATAATAATATTAATTATTATTATGAAATGAAACTATTATTATGAAATGAGGTGTTAATAATAATAATGCTAACAAAAACCATGGCCGTAGAAGGAAATGCAGAGATAATGAACGTCAGAAGCTCAGTAAATGCCTGTGATCGTTTTTGGTGAATGGAAGGTATTGCTTTGAAGGAGAGACTCCACAGAAAGTTGGGTCTTGCTATGAAGAAGCATACCCACTCAGGTATGCCCAGATACCCACTCAGAACCAGGCAAAGGAATGGAACCAAAGTTGACAACTGGGTAGTGAAACCTTTTGGCAAGTGACCTGGACAGAGAGAAACAGGCTGGGGCAGGGGCTGGAGATACATCCAGGTAGATCAACACAGGTTGTCCTGAAGCCCAAGGGAGGAATCTTGGGGTAGCAGATCCAGTGGAGCCATCTTTGACTAGGGCTTCTTGGATAGAAACGGGGGCTGGGCACCCCTAAACTGATGCCTACCAGACCTGCCCACCTGGGCCTCTGTTTCAAGGCTTCCCTTCAGGCTGGTCAGGTCTGTCTTGAAAGCCTGCATCCATCATCTAAGGTGACCCAGAATGGGAGAGAGGGAAGAATTCCCAGATGACAAAGCCAAGCCCAGCATGAGGCTGGCCCTCCATGAGAACTCGGCCCTTCCTGTTCAGGACACTCCAACCCAGGCTGGGGCGGCTGGCTATGCCTTGGATCGGCCCTCAGCCAGACCCTCCACGAAGGACCCAGGCAGAGTGGACAAGTCAGGAAAAAAAATGAAACATTTCATTTTATTCTGAATAAAAAACTCAAACAGACAGAACGGTTAGGAATTGTGAAAAACTTCATCTCTAGGACACAATTTCACAGAAATCATCTCGCACAGTGTGGGCCCTGGTCACTTGCCCCAAGATCAAGTCCTTGGGAATGGCTACCTGTTCTCCAAGTGCTCTGGGGGGCCCCTGACCAACCACTGCAATAGGCTGGGTGCTGGGGGGAAGGGGGAGTGGGGGCTGTCCTTTCCTCCCTTCCCCCTTCTGCCTTGATCTCTGAATCACAATGGTCTATCTCTGCAGAGCCTGCCCAGCTCATCAGAAAGGGGGCACCCCAGTGCTATCCTCTCTCTCTCACTTTGCAGTCCAAAGCCAGGACCCTGGCCCCTCTCCCCCGTGAGGGGGTCCTCTAAGACAAGGCTGTATCCACTTCTCTAACCCGAAGGGCTTCACCAGGGTTGCCTTCTTTCAGAAGGGAAACAAGGTCTGATACCTCTCAGACTCCTTTAGGGTGACTCCTTTAGGGCCTGGGTGGAGGGGGGCCAGGGCTTGTCTCCCAGAGTCCCCTCCCCTCCGAGGGAGGAGCTTCCCTGAGGGTCCTGGCCCCTTGAAGGGGTCACTGACAGACTCCGAGGCTTAGAGGGAACCTGAGCTCAGTCCTGGGGGCCCCTCTTGCTCCTGGCATCCCACATGCCCCGCTTGGAGTGGTAGTGATGGTAGAAATTTCGGAGCCGGAGTCGCTCTACCTCCAGGCCAGCCTGCAGGACCCTGGGGGGAGGGAGAGGTGGCAGGGCACAAGTCCCGAGGTAAGGGTTGGGGGCTATGCTTGCTCTCCCTGGAGACTTAGATTAAGTCCCTCCAGTCCCCCATGCCTGGAATTCTCTCCCTCATCTCCACCTCCTGGCTTCCTGGAAGTCCCAAATCAAACCCCCATTTTTTTAAAATTTGCTTTTGGAAGCAATGGGGTTAAGGCTGGATTTGAACTCAGGTCCTCCTGAGTCCAGGGCCGGTGCTCAATCCCCTGCGCCACCTAGCTGCCCCCAAACCCCATCTTCTACAAGAAGCCCTCCCTGAGCCTCTGAGATTCCACCCCCCCCCCCCCCATTTATCTGGTTTATAGTTTATCTGATTGAATATTATCTCCCCGGTAAACTGTGAGCTCCCTGAGGCCCTGCCCTCTGTGGGTTTGCCTTTCTTTGTCTCCTCAGTGCCAGGACAGAAATGGGGAAGGGGGGGTTGGTCAGACACCTGTCCAGCAGTTCCCAGTCCTCGCCGCCCCAGCGGTCTCGGAACTCCTCGGTGTTCATGCCCCCAACTCGGTCAAAGTCCGACTTGTAGATCCCGAAGAGACCGAAACCATTCACTTCCCAGTAGCCTGAGGGTAAGGGGAGGCCAGAGAGGGGGCCTGGGACACTAGGATCTGCCCCGCCTCCATCCCACTCCCCTCACCCCAGGGTTCTGTCCAGGTAGGATGGAACCGACCACGAGAGTGTCGAGGAAGGTTGGGGAGGGAGGGGTAGGCTGGGGGTCCCTCCTGGGGTGCTCCCTGGGTCTCGCTGCCCGGCGATCGGGAGACTACCATGAGGGTCGCCAGGGGAGCTCCCGCAGCTGAGCCGCATGACCACAGGGGCGAAGGCGAGTTTTCCTTCCACGCAGTGCTTGCGGATCCCGTCCAGGATGTTGAGGGGAAAGTGAATGTGCAGGTCACACAAGAACACGATACTGCTGCCGTCCTGGGACATAACAAGGGCTGACCCGCAGCCGGCCCGGGCGTCGCGCCCTCCACCCGCCAAGAACGACCCGGCCCGCGCGGCCCTCCCCGCCCCTCCCCCATCAGCGCGCCCTGCCCTGGATCACCTCGATGGCGTCCACGCCCGCCTGGAGCCCCGAGGCCCGCTCGAAGTTCCCGGCACGCTTCAGGTACTGGTACCTGGTGGGAGGTGGGTCAACAGCTGTTGAGGGTTTTGGGGCGGGGTTCAGGAGCCTGGGAGTGGGGCAAGGGCAAGGCGGGCGGGGAGGGGCCCCAGGTGCTCGTTACCGGGGCAGCCGTGCCGCCCGCAGCGCCCTCTCCACGTCCATGTCGTCGCTGTCGAAATCCACCAGCACCACACTGAAGCGCGTGTCGCCCGTGAGCTTGTGCAGCGAAGCCATGTCCCAGAGGAAGCGGGTCACCCAGCGCGCCTGATTCTTCACTGGGCACAGAAGGGGAGGCCAGGCGTGAGCCGGGCCCAGGCCCTTCGCCGGCCACAGCCCCGCCCGAGCTCGGCCCTGCTCTCCCGCGCCCGGTACCTGGCACCACAAAGTGAACCATGACGTCCTGGCGCCAGGCGAGCCGAACTGGCCTGCAGAGCAGGGGCTCGGGAGCGTGGCTTGGGAGCTCCGACGGGGTCTGGGCCGGGGCTGCCTCGTCGTCGCCCTCGCCGTCCACCTCTGTCTCGTCTTCCCCGTCGGCCCCGGCCCGGGCCCGTGGTAGCCGCAGGAAGACGTACTCGGACAGCCGCAGCCGTCCGTGCCCTCCACGCTCCTGCAGCTCCAGCTCCAGCAGGTAGCGGCTGCCTCGGGCCGAGTCCCGGCGCTTCTCCACGTTCACGATGCGCAGCAGCGAATAGCGCCTGAGTGTGAGGGGGGCCGCGGTCACTGGGGCCCGGGGCTGCCCGCGCTGCGCACCCGCCCCTCTCGCGCCCTGGCCAGCGGCTCCGGCCCCATCTTGAGCCGCTCCAGAGCAATCCCCGCGCGGCCTTTTTTCGTTGGAGGCCGGGGTCCCTTTCTGCCTGCCTTGGAATGGAAACGACATGCAAACAGCTCCGTGGAACCGAGCTCTAGCAGCAGAGGGAAGGCACTGGCATAGAGGAGGACCCGGAAAGGCGTCCTCTGCGTAGAAGCGGGGATTTTAGTTAGGTCTCGGAGGAAGCCAGGGAAGGCAGGAGACAGCTGAGGAGAGCGAGTTGTGGGTATGGGGGAAGGGCAGAGTAGATGTTGGAGCAGAGAGAGAGGACCAGAGTAGTATCAGGGGCAGCAAGGGCAGTCAGTGCCAACCAGGATTTGCTATTTGATTCTGGCGATGAGAAAGAGCCACGGGGCTCTATTAACGGGGCAAGCGTTTGGGGCAGCTAGATGGTGCAGTGGACAGAGCTCTGGTCTTGGAATCAGGAGGACCTGTGTTGAAAGCCGGCCTCAGACATTTGACACTTACCAGATGTGTGACCCTGGGCAAGTCACTTAACCCTGACTGCCTCGCCCAAAAATAAATAAATAAATAAATAAATAAATAAATAAAATGGGGCAAGTGTTTGCCAGCTTTGAGGAGGATGCGCCTGACTGGAGGGAGAGGGATAAGGCAGAGCTCATAGTGACTATTGCAATAATAGTCCAGGCTTGAGATGATGGAGGCCTGCACCAACATGGTGGCATGGCTGGAAGAAAGGAGACCTGGGGGAGAGGCCCATGAAGGCCTCAAAGGTAAAGTCCAGAGGCCTAGGCAACAGAATGGATCTGAGAAGGCCGAGAGAGTGAGGAGTGGGAGGGGACACTTCATAGGGAGCCTGGAAAAGGGGACAGGTCCAGGGTGGGCAAAAGAAGCTCAGTTTGGGATGCAGTAAATTTAGGGCGGGGCAGCTAGGTGGTGCAGTGGATAGAGCACCAGCCCTGGATTCAGGAGGACCTGAGTTCAAATATGACCTCAGACATGTAACACTTACTAGCTGTGTGACCCTGGGTAAGTCACTTAACCCCATTGCCTAGCCAAAAATAAAAAAAAATAAAGTAAATTTAGGGCATCTCTGAGACACACGGTTAGTGATGTCCAAGGGGCAACTGGAGATGAGGGGCCGAGGGTTTGGACAGATGTTGGGGCTGGAAAAGTGGATTTGAGAATCCTCAGCATAATCATGGGCACCGAGGAGGTCACCAAGAGGGGGTATGGAGGGAGAAGGGAAGAAGGCTCAGGACAGAGCCCTGGGGACACCCACAGTTATCGGGCATGACCTGGAGACCAAGGAGCAGTCATATGGGTAGGAGGAGAACCAGGAGAGAGCAGAGCATCATGAAAACTGAGAGAGGAGAGGATCAAGAAGAGAGCGATTGGTTAAGTGCTTTGCAAATATTTCATTTGTTCCTCACAACGACCCTGTGAGGCAGATGTTATTATTATCCCTGTTTTGCAGTTGAAGAAACTGAGGCAGATGGAGGGTAAATGACTTGCCTAGGGTCACAGAACTAGTAAGTGTCTGGGCTGGATTTGAATTCAGGTCTTCCTGACCAGGCCCAGTGCTCTGGGCACGGTGGCACCTGGCTGCCCCAAAGGCTGCGGAGAGGCCGAGAAGGCTGAGGATTTGAGAAAAGGCCCTTAGATTTGGCCCAAGGAGTTTCAGTTGGATGGGCCAGACCTTCCAGGGCTGAGAGAAGAAGGGAAGTGGAGGCACCTAGTGGAGAGATGTGGGACAGCAGGTGGGATTGGATGGGTCAAGGCAGGGGTCTGCAGGATGGGGAGACAGAGGCAGGGAGAGGCTGAAGATGAGCCAGAGAGGAGACGGAAGAGAAGGGATCAGTCCTACTGCCCCAAAAGGAGGATGGAGCATGGGGCATAGCCACGATGCTAGCTAGCCTTGCCAGGATGACCTGCCGGTCCCACCCAATGGCACTTAGTTACAGGAGCTATTGCTCCAAGCTCTTCCTTCACAAAGCCTCCTTTGTCTAGGAACCCAAGTCTTGCTCTCAGGACTGTCCCCTGAAGCAGGGGTGTATGACTAGTTCAATTTGGCCCTGGAGGGTGGGAGAGGCAGAGGGGTCCTCCTAGGAGAGGCTGCCTGCCCCTTCCTGGCAAAAGGAGACTCACCTTGCTTGCTTCTCCTCTTCTTCCCCCTACCCCCATTGTGCCAGCTCATGCCCACTAACTGTGGGTGTCCCCCAGGGCTCTGTTCTGGGCCCTCTTCCCCCTGGGTGCTATTCACTCTTCTGCATGTCACAGACACCCCTTTTCTTCCTGGAAACCCCTCCCCCCACTGTGCCTCCCCATCTCACAGACACCCCTTCTCTCTGCTCCCACCAGCACTGCCATGGCCGGCCAGGCCCTTGTCAGCTGGAATAGCTTCCCAATCCCTCCAGCAGAGAAAATCCTCTTCCCAAGGAAGAGGTCTGACTGTGCTGCTCTGAACCTTTTGGGGGTACCCTCTACCTCTGGCTCCTCCCCAGAGTTCCCTCCTCATCTTCCTGTCCCGGGTTCTTGAGGGCGCCCGAGTTGGCAGCCTCAGCTTCGGCCATTCTGGCCTTTCCAGCTGGGCGGAGGCGCCTGGTGCTCTAACTGGCCTCCTTGCCTCCAGGCTCTTGCCTAATCCAGCTCGGATCCAGCCTTGACTACCAAGCTGAATTTTCTCAAGTGTGGACGCCCCCCCCCCCCCCCCCGGCCAACTCCAGCGCCTCCCTCTTACCTCAAGGACCCAACAAAGCTCTCTGGCATTTCAAGTCCTTTCTAGGCCCCTCCCTTCCTTCCCATCCTTCTTGTATTTGCTCTCCCACCTCCAACTCTGCCATCCAGCTGCCCTGGCCTCCTCCTCCTCCTCCTCCTCCTCCTAGCTCAGGGCCTGGCACACAGTAGGGGCTAAATCAATGCTGACAGCGTGGCTGATCCATCTTCATCTCTGGTCATCCTCCAACCCTCCTCCCCTACTCCGGCTTCCTAGTTTCCTGTCATCTCTCCTGGGTCCCTGCCCTTCTCCCCCCAACCCATGACTTTTCCCCCCATTCATCTGGCTCCCATGAGCCTCTAGTTATAGCCCTGGGAGCTTCCTGAGGGTCAGACCAGTGATTCTGCCCCTGAGCTTATCCCAGTGCCTGACACACAGTAGGTGCTTACTCAGTGTTGCTACCTGCCTGGCTGGCTTTCAACCAGCATCTCTTCTGGTCCTTGGAGCCCCACCGTGAGGAGCTACTCTAGGACTTTGTGGAGGGGGGGGGGTCGACCTCCTGCTGGGTTCCCAAAAGGAGGCTGGGATGGCCCTGGGCTTGGGCCTCCCCTCCTGCCACATGCAGCCTCTGTCTCCCTTTGAAGCCCGACTCAAGGAAAGGCCTCATCTCCAGGAAACTGTCCCTGCCCCTCAGAGAGCCTGCACTGCAGGAGGGTGAGGGGCCCCAGCTGAGGCAGTGGCCACGCCCATCCCCCAGCCCCGGCCTGGCTCCAGCCAGCCCCCAGGTACCCTTCATGCAGGGCATTCAGCCGCTCCATGTACTGGGCCACAACGTCCACAGCCTCTGACTCGGGCAGCTGAAGGTTCCCAGACACGTTGCATCGAAGGTCATTCCAGTCGGAGCGGAGCAGCTCAAAGTCCATGGCGCCCACGCTGAAGGTTCGCTGCCAATTGATAGCATCCTCAGGCCAGGAGCCCCTGGGCGGGGCGACGGCCTCCTCCTCCTCTTCACTGTTCTGGGATGTGGCAGTCTCCTCTGGGCCACCCTCAGCCTCCTCCGCCCCCATCTTTTCCCCTTGCGGCCTGGCCTGGGCCACCTCCGATACATGAAGGAAAGAGGTCACTGGCTCGCCCCCCTCAGAGGAGGTGTTTGAGGCCAGGCCTGTGAGCCCAGTGTTCAGGTCCAGGGCCCTCTGGGTGAAGCTGACTCTGGAGGTCCTCCGGAGAGCATTTGGGGACCTTAGCGCCCTGGCTGTGGTGGGACCAACCGTTGGGGCCCGATGGCCTGGAGGCCGGCGAAGCGCCTGCAGATGCACCCTCTGAAGGGGGCGGGGATAGAGAAAGATGCCAGGCAGTGGGGGCTGCCAGGGGCCATGCGCTAGCCAGGGCCGGGGCCGTGGGGGCCGCGTCCGAGGGGGCCGGAGCTGCCCAGGGCGGACCCTTGTCACATACACTTTCTCTGGCTTCTTGGGTGATCGTGGGGCAGCCCCCTGTGCAGGAGACCTGGGGGGTGGGGCCCGGCCCAGAAAGAGGGACGTAGACAAGACTCCGCCATGATTCTGGGGTGTGGCTGGGGCCGTGTGGGCCCAGCTCAGGGCCCGTGCGAGCCGGCTCTCCCTCCTTGGATGGGGCTGGGGGCTGCTCTTCACGGTCGTGCCCCAGGGAGGAGGGGTGGTCCTGCTTGGGGAGGGCTGGGCTTCTGTGGGCTCTGGGCTTTCTGCTTCCGCCTCCTCTTCTTCCTCCTCCAGAAAACCTGGGGAAGAGGGATGGCTCGTCAAGGAACTGCCTGGAAGTGGGAAGAGGCTGGCAGGGCTCTGGCTGGGCACACTCACTGTCCGAATCGAGGAACAGGAAGGCTCCGCGCCCTGCATCCTCCTCATCCCTGTCGTCTTCATCGTCCATCTTCATATATTTGTAAAACCCAAACCTGGAGAGGCAGAGGGGTCTAAGAAACCCCTTCCCTCCTCCCCCAGCTGCCCTTTGTAAGCCTGGCAGGACCTGGGCACCTGCCCCCACCCCTGCTCAGCCCCTGCCTGGCCCCTGTTGGCACGACCTCTCCAGGTACAGTGGTGACTCCCGGTAGAAACACTTGTTACTAGTTTCCATATGTGTGAGTCGAGTGAAGTCATTGGGGTAAACAAAGGAGAGGTAGACCTGGAGGAAAGAGGGTCACAAAGGTCAGAGGTTAGAGGCAGGGCTTCGCTTCCTGGAATGGCGGTGGAGGTTGGGGGAGAGGTCACTTACAAACTGCAGGCCCTGGTAGCGGGCGATGGGGAAGTCCTTGACCACATAGGTGGGGGCGTAGGCACAGGGCACCAGCACGTTCTCCAGACGGGACGGCTCCAACCTTGGTGCTGGGGGGATGACGGAGGGAAAGGGCTGGGTGACCCTGCCCCAGCCACTGTCCTCCCCCACCCAAGCCCCAGCCCCTGACCCTCCTCACTGAGGAAGAAAGTGTCCCGAGCATCAGGCCTCAGCATGTCTGCTCCTAGCCCCTTGGGCTGTGGGCCCGGCTTGTCCACGTGGCTGGCCAGGGACTGGGGGACGTGGGCCACGTGATCCATCTTTAGGGTTGACTCATCTGGGGTGGAAGGGAGGACCCCTGAAGCCAGTGCATCTCCTTCTGGCCTCCTCTCTCCAGGACAGGAGTGTGTCCACAGCCTGCCCTCTACCCGTGGCCAGGCATTCTCTCCCGGGATGGGCACTCTCCCTTGGGGTCTGCCCCAGCCTGCAGACAGCCACCCCCAGACCTCTCCCACCTGTGTAGAGGGAGATGTGGGAGGAGCCGATGAGCTCGAACTTCAGGCCGGGAAGAAAAACTCGCCACTGGGGAGGAAGGGGGACAACGTGTCAGAGCAGGGAAAGGAGGCTCCGGAGCTCCCGGGGACACACCCCCTCTGGCCACGGACTAGGGGCTCAGTACTCACCCCCACCTCCACGTGGTCAGACCCCTGGTCATCTTGTTTGTGCAACAGCTCGAAGTAATACCTTCGGGAAGAGGACAGCCTGGGGCGGGGGTGGGGGAGGGGAGACTGAACGCTCTGCCTGGTGGAGGAGGGTGGGAAAGACTGGGGATCCTGCCTGGGGCGGGGGAAGGTGAGACTGGGGGTTCTGCC